CCATATACATGTAACTAAACTTGCAACGACTGTGAACACATTTAGATAGTTTATCATTAATTTAATCATCGTTATCAAGAACTATTATTTAAAATAATATTGCAGTTATATATAATATTACTTTTAATCAACACCATTGAAATAAAACGCTTAAATTTATTTATGAGATATATCTTTTTAAAATTCTTCGATAAAAATGAATATTTTAAGCACTTTGACGATTTTCATATCAGATGCAATTTCCAATAATTTATTGCATTATATATATCTTTATTTTACTGTACATGTTTATTTCTGCGTACATTTGTCAATTCTAAAGTTATTCTAAAATAGAAGAATCTCACGCACTAAAAGAAGAGAATAAGAAATCGAGATACAACTTCCGTTAGTTTGTACTTAACATGCTCACATTTTCTACTTCAATATTTAACTTATTCATTCGCTACTAGCTAACACTCACTACAAAAACGGAAACTTATATTTGTATGTCGTTAAATAAGAATCATTACCTATAGTATTCTTAATAATTATATGTATAGCTTACTTTGATATATGTTAAAAATCCACGGAAAAACCTTGATTTCGGCAGTGAAAATCAATCGCATTATACGAATATACTTAACACAGGGACGAGTAATAGTTCTTGCGAACTGATAACTGACGGATAACATTCTTATGTCCATTTCCACCAATGTGTAGATTAACTTTACTCTCGGTTTTTAATCTCAGTTTAACTCATTTTTTATTTTTTTCTAGTTCTGAGAATTAGAAAAAGGTAAGTAGCGTTAAACCGTGATTAAAAAATTAATCTACATGACAGAGACGAAGATTAGCGAAACAGCGTCATGTCGTTGCTAAAATCTGAAGAAAGACCTCAGATTTTCGTCTCGGAAGTTTGTTCATGCATTCTTGGCTCTTCTCGACAGCTCTCGGTGACAATTTCAAGAGACTTTCCGGTTTCCAAACCCTCCAGTCTCCTTTCCTCGTCCATCTTGTCTAGTTCCGCTTTGCTTAAGTGGTAGACTATTCCAGCCCCGTAACCATCGCCCAAAACGTTGATCGAAGTCCTGATCCGATCCCTTGAAGCAAAACAATTGCTCTAATTTTACCGTTCTAATCGAACCTGTTGTTCTTAACCTTTTCTATCAATTATCGTCGACTACTAATATATATATAATTTTTAATAGCATATTCAAATTTTGATCAGATTAATATTCTTCGATAATCGATAAAAAACAATTATGAGCATACAATGTAGACACTATAATAGACATGTAACTTACAACATCCAGTCGATAGCGAATAATAGGGAAATATCGTCTGTAGGGAGACCTAAAGCAGTCAGCACCAACAGCATGGTGACTAGAGCTGCGCTGGGAATACTTGCGGCTCCAACGCTCGCCAAAGTAGCCGTAAGACTAAAAAGAGCAAATTTTAAAGCAAAGTACTTGAATTTTTTAAATTCATTTATTAGATACACTGAAATTCTTTTCTTCAATTATAACTAGTAGTTGGTGAAACAATAGAAATCATATTCACGAAGTACATGTACCTGACAGTAATGACTTCAACGAATCCTAATGAGATTCCATTCAATTGTGCTATGAAGATTGCGGCCACGGCTTCATAAAGAGCTGTCCCATCCATATTTACAGTGGCACCGACTGCCACAACAAAACGCGTCACTCGTGGATCGATCTTGTTATTTTCTTCGAGACAACGGAAAGTCAATGGCAAGGTTGCAGCGCTATAAATCCATATATCGATTATATCATTGCTATTCCTTTAAAAAGTTAGTCATGCTAGAAAATTCAATTTTATACACTATTGACTTCGTAAATATAAATAAAAAATGGTAGCGTCATGATTTTCTAATTAATTTTGAGATAATCTCTGATTAATTCTTGAATGAACTTCAAAATAACGATCACGAAAACTATTAAGATTAATTTCAGAAATGTTTTTAATTATTACCTCGAAGCGGTTCCTAGCGCTGTCACCCAGGCTTGCATCATACCTCTAAAGAATACTGCTGGATTCTTTCGAGTTATAAACCAGTAGATCAGTGGCAGCGTGATGATTGCGTGAATCATCAAGCCTAATACAACGGTTACCATATACAGACCCAACATTTCAGCGGTTGCCGCCAGATTTGTGATTGACATGATTTTTCCAGCTATCAGACACATAATTCCGAACGGAGAATACCTACAGCAATTGCCAATTGCATTGTCGTAAAAGAGAAAATAAAAGAAAAGAAAAATGTTTTATTTATCTTAAATTCCAATACATTAAGTTAATATTCGTATTCTTATCGACTCATATATATCAGAAACTTGAATTAAATTTGAATAATGAATGATCAATTATTTCTTAAGCTTATGTGAAATTATTTTATTGGCTTTTTTATTATTTATTATTTATTTCTTATGTATTTCTCTTTTTCTATCTCAAGCTCTAATATATATATATATATATATA